ACATAATTATATCAAATAGTAATATTTCTTAAAACTAATAGTATTCTCTATGATTAAATGAGTTTTTTCGTTAACGCCATCTCCAAAATCCAAATTGAATACAGACTATTAATGTTAAAACCATAGAAAAACCAAATTTTATTAGAAAATTCCATTGAAATAAAATTAATTTACTTAGATTAAATTTTTTGATTATTGAAATATAATAATAGTTATGACCCTTCATAGTAACAGTTGTATTTCAAAAGTAATTTTTTTAACTTTTCCGGATATACAATTGTATAGAAATAAAATTTTTCACCGCTTATAACATACAAAATTTGTTTTGTGTTTAAAATTAGTTTTGAAAACTTTATTTTGAGATTATATCAAATAATCAGTTACCTTAATACTACGATATTACAAATATGCTCTTTAAAAAACAATCAAATAAAATCAGTTTGTTCATTTTATGCGTACTGCTTAAATAACAACAGAGACTAATCAATCTACATTGATATTATTGGTTTTGGATATGTATTTTAGATGTACGAAAAAACTATTTAAAAAAAATAATAATTTTGTTTTTTTCAAACTGTGTGTGTGACATACAACCTAATTTTTGTTTATTAATAATTATTTAATTATGTCATTTGAATTGTTATTTTCTAATTTGGTCTTATTTTTAAATTATAACGATTTTTAGCACGCCATTAATTATGATTTTGTAATTAGTAAAAAAAAAACTATCAGTTGTCCTAAAAAAGTTTATGTAAGATATAGTGACAAAAATCCATGACATTATTTAGTAGAAATGTTGAAATGATGCCCGATTCACATTAAAGCACAGATCAATTTAACTTCTATTTATACAATTTTTACTCGATCATGGGACAATTCATTTTATACAACTACTATCATTAGAGTTAAATCGAGTGTCTTTTTTTAACTTGTAAATTAACTTAAAAAAAAGTATTCCAGCAATTTTGATAATTTATATTGGTACCTAGCGAAATAACTTTACATCAGTGCATGAACAACGTTTATAACAAAACATTTTCCTAAAACATAATCAAAAACAAAAAACCAAAAATATGTGATATCAATAAATGTGAAATTATATTAAACATAATACAACTTGTAAGGTAAAACAATTATTCTTAAAATAAAAATAAATTATTTTCAAATGCTATATTTAATAATATTCTATGGAAAGAATAAAGTAGTCATTTGCTTGCTCACATTAAAAACTGCTCGTGGTAGTATCGAACCTTTATAACGTAAAAATGTAGTAACGTTAAAAAAAACGATGAACAAAAAAAAATTGAATAACATTTTAATAATAAAAATGATAAACATAGAAATTATATACAGTTTATATTATGAATAACGTTAAACTCATTTATAAGATAACGTTGTAATATATTTAAACATTAAAAGAAATCTTTTTTTAATCCGACCCCTGTTTTACATTCAATTTTGGTTAACATTGTTAGTAAAATTTTGATCTGAAAAATCGGTTTTCTGGTTACTTGCTTAACTACATTAAATCTTCAATTATTTATTTATAAACAATTTATTTTTGTTATTGATGATTTTAAAATCCCAACCTAATAATTTCAATGAAGAAATTGATTAAGAGGTCAATTTTATCTAAATGCCCGTAACAATTACATCACAACATATTTAACGCGAAAGTAGTGTTTTTGCAGATTCTGTGATCATTTAAGGAGCATTTTTTCAAGCTCCTTAGATGATTTGAAATAATTATTTTATAGTATTGAATATGAAATAATTAATAACTTAACTTTTATTTCATGTCTTTAATTTTTATTTAAATAATGTTTCTAGACATTATATAGAGCTTTTATGTATTTTATTATCTCGAAGTATCTGTTAAAACGCTGTTTTGTTAAGTGTCAAATGATTTTTGTTTAATCTTATGTCATAAACATGACGTGTGTAGCTAAATATTTTTATTATTTAAACTATCAAAAAATAAAGAGGCTCGATAGGATAAAGCAAAAAACGCGCTATTCAAATTCTTTAAGGGTGAATGGATGAGAGTGAAATGCCTGTGAAATGAAAATCAACATTATTGAATTATTCCGTCGTTTATACTGCAACGTATCTCAGTTTTTCTAGGTTTTCAGAATGATCAAAAAACAAATTTAAATAATATACATTTTAATATAATTGGTGATTTTATTTTTATAGCTATTAATATAACTATGAGTTTTACTATAAAATATGTAGAAAAAAATGTTGTGAAAAACTTATTTTATTATTATTGATAAAAATCTCTTTTTGTCAAAATTTGAGTTACGTTCTGTCCGTACTGCCGATTTATAATAACATGTGTATGATGTGCGTACTTGTTTATAATTAAAAATATTATTAAACAGATAAACGTTTGAAAATTTCTTATAAATAACAATATAACTATAATTATTTCGAATTATTTTTTAGGGTAATTAAGGCTATAATAAAGATTTATATTCTTATAAATAAGATATTCTTAGAAAGTATAACCTAAAGAATTGCAATTTATTTTTGCATATAGATTAAGATAAATTAAATGAATATTTATTTAAATAGTATAGTAATGAACTGTATCATATGATAATTTCCAAAAAAAAATAATATTTTGCATTTTTGGTGAATCTGAATTCAGTTTACTAGTCCCTATCGAATAATGTATGTGCATTATCTTCATACTTAATTTTTTTATTTTATTTGAAGTTAATTTTCCAATTATATAAACTATTTTACATTTAAGGGTTCACTAAAGTGAAGCCCTATTACACAAAGTGTAAGTTATACAATTTTTATTTAATACAAAATGGTCTTTGTCAATCATCGAAACGTTATTATATAATAATTTAACCAATATTATTGTTAAATATCAATTAATTTTTAGTCGAAACTTACAGTCATTTATTTTAATACATGTTTTTAGATACTATTTATTTTACTTATAGTTTCATATGCAGATGCGTATTTAGAGGGGAGCACAAGACAATTGCCCTTTCTTCCATTGGCTGAGATATGCTAATATTTTTATCGAGCAATGTTATAGCATTTGATGAAGAGTTAGTGATTGAAAACTGATCAATTGAAAACAATTTCCACTTTTTTGTGGTTATCTATAACATATGTTCATTGAACATTGGTTGATATAGCTGTCTTGTGAAGCAAATTTCTCTAGGATAGTCCCATAAATGTTATCATTTATTACTAACAAATATTTTGAATTTAATCTTCTTGAAGTGTAATACATAAACAAAAATGCCTATATTTTATACATTAATTATTATACAAAGTAATGCATTTATCATAAACTATATTTAATTAATAAATAAAAAAAAAAATTGTAATTTTCTTTTATACAAGGTTGGGTTTATTTTTAAACCCAACATAACTATTAACACATTTTAAAATATTAACATATTTTTCTCAATTTATTAATCATAAAATATTTTTATGATCATCCCTTATACCTTTTAAAGGTGTCAAAATTATTTTTTCAAATGGCAACATATATAATTAACTAGCTTATTTATTAGATAATTATCTAATTTGGAAAATGATTGGATGAAAACAACTTTTCTATATTTTTATAACTTAACTATAACGTGTCAATAAATTCTGAAATAATGGTGTAAAAGATGTTGTCAACCAGTCATTTTCTAAATTAAATATATGTCTAATAAATAAACTAGTTAGTTATGTTAGTGAAAAAATTGTCACTCTTATAAGGGATGATCATAAAAAATACTTATTGATTGAAAATTGAAAAAAAAAAATTATAATTTTGTTTTGTGTTATTTTTGTCCAATTTTTATGATACCTTATCGATTATGAAATTTATTTATTATCTTCTTATTTTGCTTGCTTTTATTCTAAATACTTGGAGTCAGCCACCACCATTATCCTAAACTTCCACTTGACATGATCTCTCACATCATCTACGCACACATCAGACATCCTCATATCATATTCAATAACATATCTTTCTCGGTCTTCATTTACCTCTTCTTCATTTGTAATTCATTTCCATAACTGTTCTTGCAGCTTCCGATTCTTCTCTCATCATAACACCACCAAACCTTATAAGTATCTTCTTTCATTTTATCCACGATTGACGCTACACCTATACTGCATCTTAAATGTTCATTCCTTATCCTTAGGATAAGGAACGAAAATAAAATTCATTGTACATTTCTAAATACGCCCTTGTTCATATGATTATAATCATAACTTTTATAATTACAAAAGTTAAAAAGAAACTTGTCTAAACAATCAATTATTCGATTTTAGTGCTTAATTCAACAGCGCTTTTGAAAAGCATAAAAAATGACATCCATTTAATGGTGCGGTCTTGTCATTTTATGTAAAAATAAACACACAAATGACTACCATTGGATTGCAACAATGTTATAAATGTTTTATTTTTATGTACATAGTGTTTTACTTTTTGTAAATAAAACGTTATTAATACTATAATAATGGGGGACCATAAGAATAACTCAAATGTTAAACGAAGCATGAACTGTTTATGCACTCTAGCCGTTTTGGCAAACAAAACAAAATTAATTACGTTTGTATCAATATGTTTTTACAACAACGTCGTACGTTATTCGTAAGGAAATTTTTCCCAGAATTTCCAGATGCCGTTAGTCATTAGTGTTGGGTAGCAGTAGGAGGGGACATCCTGAATTAAATTTAATACAAAACACCACCGAAGGTCTTACGGATACTTTTAGAGAAACAAAAAGTCGCTAGATAAAACGACTGCGAAACAAGAAAATTTATTTTGTGTATAAAAAAGTTCATCTGGGTAGAAAAAAAAAACGACAATTTAGACCTTGGATTATTGATTGACAAGGTCTGGAGTATCGCGGCGTTGTCACGTTAGGGAGGTTAGGTGCGATTTATGCTCAAATCTTTCGGTTATATTTATAGACCAGACGTACAATAATTATAACCGTGACCGTTGAGCACGTCATTAGCGTTTGTTAGTAGTGATCGAGAAGAAAGCACCTTCGTATCACGTTCGTTCAGTGTCGTCGACGCGTCTCATAGGCCCATGCCCAGCTACTGCCGCCACCAAATGAAACGGCGACGAATAAAACGGCTTAACGATTACAACTATTACAACACTGTTACGACGAATGCCTAGTCGTTTGCCACACGTCGCACTTAAATCTTCTTGAAAAAAAAAAAAAAAATTCATTGTTCTTCATTGCTCGTCAAACTATCGATATGCGAAAAACGGTTAAATGAGCCCGAAATCCACAATTTTTCCGACAACTGTTGTAACATGTGCCTAAACCTTGCAGGTTTTTTATTTTATTAAAAAAATACAATTTGAAATTTAATCTCCGTTGAGAACCATCATCGGACTCGGTCAAGATGTTGTCACGTCGGATGTCGTATTTCGAACGGCAGGAAATCATTGTAATCGGTGAGTTGACTATTCACAACCTTGACTAAAAAAATCATTACATTTTTAACCCTGCGGCCTTGCACGTACTCGGTGGAACACATGCAACGTTATGCATCGATTATTCCTTAGATAAAAATTATTGTTTTTTCTTCGTAGTTTTTTTTTTTTTATGTGTATTACATTGTGTACACAGATGCTTAACGCCTAAACTGTTATAAGGTCAAGCATAACGGTTATGCGGCGGATAATCGATTAGAATGAGGACGAAAAAAAAAACTATGCAATTTATATATGTGTGCGACCAAGTTCGTGTCTTCTTTGCTTTTGAAACGTCTGATGAATTGAAGGAAACATTTTTTTACATATTATTTGAAATTGATCGCACTACAAAAATGTTGAATTAAATTTACTCAATTTTATCAGCAAATTTCATGTCATTTATTTTTATCAATACAGAACATTATTCAAAAAACAAGTTATTACTATTATTATTATTATTTTTTATATGATCTCTCATATAGTAACATAAAAATGAATCTATTTAATACTGCACAAATAAACTAGTATAATTTTTCTTATTTAATTTGTTTTAAATAATATAAATAAATGTTCTGCCTTGTTTTTGATAGTTTATTTACTCTATCATTTCTCATTTTTAATGTATTTTCCTCGAAAACTTAAACAGGTTACCTTAGTTGTTTTAGGTAACATTTTATCCTGACAAATAATAGTTAAAAAACTTGTTTGAAATAACCGAAAAATATAGAAGGCTTAATATTTCCATCAAATATATCTGATCCTATGAAATATTCTAACGATAAGGTATATAACACATCTATATGCTCCCTCAATTTATGTCTAATTTATTAAAGTCGTCACGTAATATAATAATTAAATGTAAAAACTTGTTTCTAACTATTTATTAAAACTCTAGAAATTCCGTAAATATGTATAACATTTTTATAACAGTAGATACTATTTTCAACGATTTTTATGTACAAAGTTTGTATTTAAAATATAAAATTAATTTTAAAACGCATTATATATAAAAATTTATTTTTAAATTTATATTATATTTATTATTTTATATAAAATTAATAATTTTATTGAATATCGTTATTGAACATAATTATATATTGGATAAAATAATCTCGTACTTTTGAATATTATTACATTTTTTTTATACATAAATATTATTTTCAAATTCAATTCCCTTCGATTAATACATTTTTCTTTAATCCTATGTCGGTTTACTTTGTTATATTTTCTCAAATATTTTAATATAAACTAGGAATGTATATCATATTATAATACTTAAACATTTGTTTTTAATACAAAAATAATTACTCTTGACTTTTTGCTAGAAAATATTCATAATTTTTAGATAATTATTTATTTTAGACTTCAAAAGACTTTTTATAACTTATTTTTTGGTGTATAATAAAATATTTTGTCAATTTTTTTCTTATTTAATATATATATATATATATATATATATGTCTGCAATATCAAACTTAAATGCAAAACACCATTCTTAAATTTTTAACGGTTCAAATATATATACCCTAATATCAGTTAAAAACAAAATGTATAACGAACAATCATAATATTAATATTTTGGAATGAGTTTCTATATCATAATTTTCGTTTTAATAGTAAAAAATACATTTAAAGTCTTAAAAAATAAGTATTTAATAGTATGTTTTATTATATCTTCAAAAAATAAAACCATAATACAACATTTAAAATAATCTATATCATGTGTAATAAACACTGAGAATGACGTAAACAAACCCAGAAAATTAGTTTTCCTTAGTGATTATTAATTGTGTTATTTGTAGAAAACATTGAAAATTGATTTCTACTTAAAATTAAAACGCATTTTTTCCAACTGTTAGTACGTATTGTTCATTTGACATGCTTCTAAATTTCATTTTACCCGAAGCCATATGATGTCAATCATTACATTGCTTATGAACACATCTAAATTAGCAATTCGAATACCGAGTCAACCGACACAAAACGTTATTATAAATTACAATACAGTTCTAAATGAACTAAACAAATAATATCATGTTAACAGCTTTATTCTAATGCGGTGAATTATTACTACCTTGTTTAAATTTTAATTTTCCTCCGTAAAAATATACTATTCATGTAAAATATAACTATTAGACGATGTACTAAGTACATTTTATTGATTTTTATCTGTTAGCTATGGCATAGCTTGGCTAGGATAAAATGTATATACTTGCATATATAGTCGAAAATCGAGGAACTTGGGTCTTGAGCCCTTAAAAAATTGCTGTATCCATCTAAATTTTTTAAAAATTATTTGTATTTTTATAAAAAAAAAATTTACGCCAATGCTTATATTTTTTATATTTTTGTAGGGCTAGTTTTAACTACACCTAAAAAGTATAATACTATAAGCAAAGTTTTGTGTAATGTCGAAACAATGATCATTAATACTTTTTTTAAGAATTATATGCTAACAGCTTTAATACTAATTAAAATATACTTTTTTAATTTTATCTATGTAAATATTGCGTTTTTAAGTGTTTTTATCTAAGTTTTTAACCTCAAATAACGGCACTTATAACAATACCAATACAAAAAATACTATAATTGTGATCCTTGATTCATTTTGTGTATAGAATTATTACTAGATCCCATTGCCCTCCCCATTTAAAGGACGATGGCAAGAAGCGATCGCTCTGGAGCCCATTTCGATTTTTAATAGTCTAATCTTGATTATTGACTGAGTTTTTCTGATCATTACCGATGAAAATTGTATAGTTTATAAATAAAAATAATAATATATAAATATTTGTTAGAAGTGTGTGATTAGATCTCAGTTATATAAATTTAACGAATAGTACATAAATTAAAATTGAATTAATTAACTGACTTGAATGAGAAATCTATGTAAAATTAAATTAAATCAGTGGGCTTTATGTGATATTTAAAAGAGAAAATACGAAATCATTTATAAATGTGTATTGAAAAGTAAATCTAAACAAAATTCAAATATTTGTATTTTATTTTAATTCTAATTTGTAGTGTAGCCTATTACTTCTTTAGATATGTGCATTTTTATTTGTAAATCATCGAGTACTTCTCAATAATACAAAGCGGTTAATTTGCATTTACTCGGTAGGGTGAAAGTGATTATTTGTATTCCTTTGAGTTGCAGTTTTTTTGACTCCAAAAAGACGACGATTCTGAATTACATTTTTTTAATTAATTATAAAATAAGAATTTTGTCTGAATTTTATGCTTATGAATTATTATACTCTATTATGATGATCTTTTCATCGTTTTAATTATTTCAATTGATATATTTTATACTTTTCAATTTATTATTAAAATTTTACTTTAAAATGAATTTGATTATATCACTTTAAAATAAAATACCACTTGATCCACATTTTTGCTAGGTGTAATACTGAAGTTTATCGTTATCATTTACATTAAGTATATTTAAATTAAGTAATTTATTCATATTTTTAATGTAATAATAATCGTCTTATTTGTACTTTGGTTAAATTGTCAAAATTAGTAGTTTTGGAATGATATGAGAAATAACCAACTTAATCAGATCTTTATTAAAAAAATTACTGACGTTCATACCTTTTACATACAAAACATGTACATTTAATTTTTAAAGTTTTATGTGCTAAATATTATCGATATAATGTTTGTCGATAAAGGTACCGTAAAAAATCACTTGTTTCGTTGCAAAATAATTTCGTTTTAAAAATTTTTGACAATAAAACATGTATATAAAGCGTGGATTTTAGATATTTGTTTACTTAAAAAATCATATCGAAATCAACATAAACAAAGAGTATGTGTATAGTACTTAGGTTGGCAACATTATATCACAGTATAAATAAAACTAATATATCTAATCTATTATAATATAATGTAAATATTATAATAAATCATAATTTTGACTTGTATACTATGTTAAAATACATGAATAATTGATGACAACAAATTATAAGTCTTCCTATTATAAAATCATCATCAGAAGCGGACTGACCAAGGGCGCAATTGCACCCTGGTTGCTATCTACAGAGTAATGAGAACCGTTATAATTAACGTAATTCGTTTTGTAAAATTATTTGTTGACAAAGAGCGGCACAATTATTTTTTGGTGCGAGCTGAGCTGCCCTAGTTATTGTGTCTCTCAATCCGCCCCTGATTGTCATTGTACATTTAAAAATAATAGCTTATTATTATCATGCCGATATTATGATTTGCATTTCTTAGCAATTTTACTTCTTTAGAAATTATTGTTTTGTTCAGTATTTCATTGTTTAGTTATTTTTGACTTAGAACGTTTGTAAAAGTGCGTGATTCGATTTCAAATAAAATTATAATGCGCACTTTAATTTATATAAATAGACCTAAAGACTTATTTATTACTATATGAATATATAAATTTTGAAATATTAATAACCAAGTTATTTATTCATAGTACCAAAATAATTTGCATGAATGCCTTCTTTTTAGTCTATGAAATTAATTAATTTGTAACTGTGATATAAAAATTAACGAAATTCGTGACTTTAATAAGTAACATAACATGTCTTTTGTCTGACGGATATATTTTATCAAATACTTTGATCAATACATCTTTCTCATATTAAAATGACATTTTTTTTAGGAGAACGTTTAAATTATGTCAATACGCCACATGTCATTGCCATGGTAGGGCTACCAGCTCGTGGCAAAACTTACATTTCAAAAAAACTTTCCAGATACCTTAATTGGATTGGTATAAATACAAAAGGTACACTTAATATGCTTTATTTAATCTTAACTTAAATATTAAAATTTTATATATTTTAGTTTTCAACCTGGGAGAATACCGCCGGCATGCCACCACAGCATACAAAAGCCATGAATTTTTCCGACCGGACAATAAAGAAGCTATGGCTATTCGAACTCAATGTGCTATCGATGCCCTTGACGATGTATGTACTTGGTTGGACAATGGTGGTGAAGTAGCAGTGAGTAAATAAGTCTTATTTTAAGGAGAACTTTGGAATAAATTATATTACGTTGTATAAAAATAATTATATTCATCCTTTTATTTCAGGTTTTTGATGCTACTAACTCTACAATTGAACGACGGCAGTTAATATTGGACATAGTCGTTAAGAAACGAGGTTTTAAGTTGTTTTTTGTAGAATCTGTCTGTGATGATCCTAAAATAATTGAACAAAATATAATGGTGAACAGTTTAAAATTTAAATAAAAAAAAAATTTTAGTTAATTAAAATATGCTTTTTTTGCCAAAAACTTTGGACTTAAAAATTCTATTGATAGAGGTATAAATTTAAATATTAACTTGGAAAATTTCAATAATAAATTTTCGTTTTTAAAATTTTTAAAGATACTTATTTTAAGTAATTTAATTTAAATAAGGTACATATTTATTTCATTTTTAAAATGTATTGATTGGTTTACTATAATTTTTTTGTTTTAATTAATACTACATCAAATTAGTCTATTGTTTATATTGTTGATGTATAAACTTCTACACTCTGTTACTAACTTCAACTTTTTGGTGTTGATTTTTCTTTGTTTTATTTTTATATTGTAGTTATAATATTTATATATCTGTAATATTTCTCAGACAACAATAAAGATATAATTATAGTTTTATTATTTTATCCAAAAAATCTATTTGCAGGAAGTGAAGGTTAATAGCCCTGATTATCAAAGCATGGGGGCAGATATAGCATTACGAGATTTCTTGCAGCGAATAGAACATTACCAAGAGAGATATGAGCCATTGGATGAACACACAGAATCCAGTCTTAGCTATATGAAAATATTCAATACTGGAGAAAAAGTATTAGTGCATAAACATGAAGGCCACATTCAAGCACGCATTGTTTACTACTTGATGAATATTCATATCATTCCAAGAACTATTTATCTTACAAGAGTAAGCTAATTTTAAATTACATGCATTTTACTCTAAAAAATGTTGTTAGTTTTTTTACAATTTAATAGAAATTTTACTGAATATTTAAATTAGTAATAATTTTATTAATTGTACATTATTTATTAAAGAAGTAAAATTAATTTTTTGTAGCATGGAGAAAGTGAGTGGAACAAAGAAGGCAAGATTGGTGGTGACTCACAGTTATCACCAAATGGAGTTAAATATGCTGTAGCCTTAGCCAACTACATAAATGACCAAAATATTAAAAATCTTCGGGTTTGGACTTCATGGCATCACCGAACTATTCAAACAGCGTGTGGTGTACGTGCACCACAAGAAAGATGGAAGTCTCTTAATGAAATTGATGCTGTAAGATCTCAATTTTTATTCAATTATTAATTTGAATATATTTTTTATTTATTGTACTGTTAAGGGAGTATGCGAAGGTAAGACTTATGGAATGATAAAAAATGAATACCCAGAACAATTTGAAGCCCGTGACAAAGATAAATTTGCTTACCGTTACCCAAGAGGTGAATCATATGAAGATTTAGTGGCTCGATTAGAACCAGTTATTATGGAGCTTGAGAGACAGGGTAATGTGTTAGTGGTCAGCCATCAAGCTGTACTTAGGTGTTTATTAGCATACTTCTTAGATAAAAATGCAGGTAATGTTTAAAAAAAATGCTTATCAGTTGGCAATATAAACCTTCAGTTTTTTATTTTCATTAATAGAAGAGTTACCGTATTTGGAAGTGCCGTTGCATACCTTAATTAAACTAACACCAGTAGCATATGGTTGTAAAATGGAACAGATTAACTTTCCAATTGATGCTGTCAATACGCATCGTCCTAAACCACAGGTGAGTTATGTTAGAGATTAATAAACTGTTTTTTTACAGGGTATACTTTTAATTAGAAAATGTAAAATAATTTTAATTTTACTGACTATAAACTAACAATATTATTTTTTTAATTCATGTAAACATTTTTAATGATAATGTACACCTCAGTATGTATAAAAAAAATTATTCATTCATATCTAATATCAATAAATTTTGTTTTATTTTTTAATTTTTTTTTACTTAAGTTTTTAAATTTAATTACTTGTATATAAGTTAAAATTAATGATATATTTTTTTTATGTTAATTGATTTGTTGTTATTATTCAGTCCTTGCAATATTCCATTAATTATAGTACATAGTTTCTTTTTTAGTGGAGGACTAGTTTTTTAACAATCTATTCAATAATTTTAGGAGTTATATTAAATTTATTAATTTATTTTTCTAAGAAAAAACAAATAAATTAATCATTTTATAATTAATGTTCAGTTATATATTATTTTCCCTAATGTTTTCCTGCTCATACAATTATATTTAAATTATTGCACAGTTCACTAAAACTTAAATTAATATGTTTACTAAATAAATTTTTTTTTTGCATCTTGTCTGTATAAGGTTGGTTCACTTGAGGCTTGATATGAATTTTTCCTTTGATAAGATGGCAAAGTGGTTTTATTTTATATGCGACTTAAATTTCGGTCAGGTACGGTAAGTGATAAAAAAAAAATCTTATAATATTTATTGTGCTCCATGAACAATGTCTCTTCAATGACATAATCATCACTTTCATTGCATAAAATGTATCACAATCATAATTGGTCATGGTTCAATGATATCGAAGGTTAAAATCCATCAGTTCATGTTAATTTTTGTCAAAAAAATTATTACAAATTATTTTCAATTTGATTCAATGTGAAGAAAACATCATCTAATTATTGTCGCATTGATAACACTGCTAGAACGAACTGTTATCATACTATTCTAACAACCACTTGTTGTTGCCTATATAATACGCCTTGATTGCTCATTTTACGATTTGATCTTTCATAAAAATATACGATTCAATACAATACAATACAAATCGGTCTAATCATTTGAATAAAAAAGAAATTGAATTCTGATATTTGTATGCATGCATAACTTATGTTCAAAAAAAATTTTCAAAATAATTTAATTATTACTCAATTTATGCAAAAAATTAAATGCCTCAACCAACCCAATTTTATACTATGTATACATATACATAATATGACAAACTAGTATTTAATAATCTCTTATTTTTTTGTATTCTTTACAGTTAATTTTTTAAATGTGAATCAATTTGGATATTTTTTGTAGATTAAATATAAAATATAATTTCTAAGTAAATACATATAATAGTCGTTTAATGTAATGTGTTTTATCTATTATATTTATTTTTAATTTATCAATTAAAAATTAATTGGGAGTAGGCTACAGCCCTATCCGTACCTCCCCATGATTACGCCACTGTTAACATTAGCACCAGTAAAACGCTCAGAGCTTTATTAATTTTTCAGTTCAAACTTTTTTGTCTATCATTTTGTTAATTAAATATAATTTCCTATAATTCTAGTGTGAAATTAGAAAAGAAAAACTATGTCTATGATGCATTTAGGGAATTTGAAATCTCATTATTAAATATGATGAGGAATACTTTTTTTAAAAATCAGTGTAAACTAAAATTTAATCTTACTAAAAAAAAAAAACTAAATTCTAGCTAATTGATTTTGTTAGACACCTCGCAAACTCTAAGGCTTCTTAGTTTCTCTACTACTCAGCCTTTATTGACCTTTGGTTACAATATTGATGGAATTATTATTATATGTCACTTTAAAAATTATAGTTATATTTAAAAAAATATATCATCTTCTAAATAAAACTTAGTAATAATATTTATTTTTAGCCTCTCAATTATTAAGGAGCTAAAATTAAAACTAAATATTTACTACCTCAATAATAAAAATCGTAAGTTAATAAAACTACATATTTTTTACTTCAACATTAATAGGGAGATGTTTAATTTATATTAAAACAAATAGTAATTTTGAGTTACTGAAATAATACATTAAAATATTATAATCATTGCTACGCATTGTGTAGTTTCATATTTTTAATCTTTATATATTATAATTAAATAGAAAGAACAGTGTAAATATTTATTAATATTTACGCAATTGTTCTTTTTTTATTTTTTTAAAGGATAATTCCCCAAACTGAGATAATATTGGCGTGAACTAATACGGTGTGTTAAATTTTTACAAAATTATGGTGCATGCGCTTACTTATTTGATTATTGGTCAACTTAAAATAATTTTTAAATATTATTACTTTTTAATAGGTTCCAGGATACTTGGAAGACAGATTTAAATATGTTGAAGATGTCAAAAAAGAGAATGGTGACACAACCTTACCTACTTAAACTACAAATTAAATACCACTGTGTATAATTTTGTTTTCCTTTATAAATTTAATGAGTAGTTTGGGTATGATTGGCGTCAAAAGTTAATGATGTATGGAACATGGCAACTAACTTAATCGAATTGGACTAATATTATAGTTTTATTTTTATGTATACAGTTAAAATTTCTACTTAATTTGATTGATTTTTCTATGTAAATATTTAATTGACCATTATGTACTTACAGCCTGATAAAATCTTTTATATTCATAAAATTATACTTGTTAAAATTGATATTCTATTAACATTACACTGTATTGATATCTTTAAAAATTATTCATTTTTCATTTTTTTGTCAGATATTTTATTTATTATTTATTTTTCACTTACATAACTATAATTATATTATTAAGATAAGTAAGCACTATATTTTATCATTATGAGATTGTCTTTATATAAATGAATATCTATCATTATTAAAAAAAAATTATTCTTGGATATAATCTATTATCTGTTGATACATTATAATGAATGCTTAACAAATTTTATTGTGATATTTTCGAAAACTGAATTTTTTTCCCTTGATTTTGTATACTAAATTTTCTTCAAAATAAAAAAGTTTTGTTTTATTTAATATTTAATGACACCATTTCCTAATATCTCTATATCAATATTTAATTAATAATTGGACATTTTTTATGAAAAAGTCGCTTTGTGCTACTTTTTAATAAAAACAAAATATTGTTTCCTTAAGTATAGTAATATAGCAAATTCTAATCGCAATATATTGGTAGCAAAATTATAATTTTGTTAAAAGTTTTGCATAAAACAATAAAAATTATTGACTTGTACGACCTATCAAAAATAATTACAATTAATTATTTAATAATGTCTAATAAAATGTTATTATTTTATATGACATGGTAAATGTTCTGTAAAAAAATAAGCTGTTTTAGACAGTTATGATTATAATTATCAAACTTAGCAAATTAAAATTCTATTATATACGCACAATAGTATTAAACTCTTAATTCTAATTAATTTTGGCTATTCATACAGACCTAGACAAGTTAATCATTTTTTCAAACTTGTGAAATTACGTTGAAAAATAATAATTTTTTAACTTAACTAGTAGAAATTTTTGCTATCTATATAAAATGTTTCTTTTTTTAAGAAATATAAATTTACCAATTTATATTTCATCCTTTTAACCGATATCATAACTATTTGGTGTCGGCTCTTCCTTATTGATTAGACAGGATTTTTACACCGAGTGTCGACCTGACGTAACCTTATGGGCTGAGGGGACAAGGTTTATACCATTGTTGTGGCTCCCGTATTGTCAACCATACGAAAAGTAGTGAGAAATAATAGTTATAAACATCAGCGACAAGACCAATAAATGTTCCACTACTAGAATTTGAAATATTTTTTATCCACTAATAATTGGCACAAATAAGTTTTAAAATTGAAATGATCCATTTCCAATGACTCTTCTAATAGAAATGGACGAAAAAAAATAATTTTTAATTATTATTGACAATTCCAACTCGTATCAATTTTTTAATTATAACTTAAAAAAATAATAAACAATCAAAGTATAAAAATAAATTATTGTTATACAATAATAGAGTTTGACAACAAAGTGTTATACTACTTTATTTAAAAAAAATCAGTATAATAATGGTGGCTACTTCTGTTTATGTGCATATAAACAACAAAAGTAAAACAATATATATTATATTTTTTTTATAGAAAACATAATAAAGGTGGTAATTACTCCTACACATAGACATGCTTGCTTCTAAATAAAAAATTATAAATACAATAATATATAATATAAATATCATATATTAAGAATAATCAAAGAACTTCTAGTGGCATTAATGTAGGTGGGAAAAAGAAAATAAATAGTTTTGTGGATCTTCACATTCTTGAGTTAATATTTAAGTAAATATGAAGTAAAATTTGAGGACTATAGTACATTAATGAACAAAAATTTTATAATATATTCTAAAATTGCCGAATGCACACGATTCTATAAAAAAAATAAGAGAATATGATATTTCCCACACCCCTATGAAATCGTCCTTTTTAATATTTAATTTTATATCCTAATGCACTTGCAACTCTTAAATGAAACAGAATTTAGCTTAAAAATAATAAATAAACAAAAAATGCACCGAAATAGTAATAGCATCGACATTTACTTTTAATTTTCCTATTTTCAATTATATCTATTGTTTAGCTATACTTTTGAACATTTTTTATTTTTAGTCGAGTGTGACAACACTCCGTTATCAAAAGTTTGGCTCTAATTTTGGAAATAGCATTAAAAGCAAAAATACTGTATACAATTTTATCTTCGACGCGAAGCTGAGAAGGTATTAATTTTACGATGATGTGTTTTTATTTTTTTATTATTATTATTTTTAAATTTACCTCAAGATATTTAAAAAAAAATTAATATTAACCGCGGTATATATTTTTTATTGTAAGAAAATAACATATATGATACAAAAATGAAATATTTGTTTACGTACTAAATAGAATATGTCTAATACTATAGAACAATGCATTTATTTGATACTTTTAACCTACCCGTTTAAATAAAATATGAAACTATATTATGGTTGAGTACATATCGAGGTCGCTTTTTAAAAAGTTGAATACAAAATAAAACATGTGTCATCGCTAAATAGGGTAACAATAACAATACAGGTGAACAATTTTTCTAGTTGTATTGTTAGCAAGTTGTTAAATACGACTATTTAACTTATTTTACTCATATCATTTGAATTTAATCCAACAGTAAATACTAAGTATGTGTTACTATAGCTTCTATTGTTAAACAGGTATATGTTTACTTGCAACCTACAAAAATGAACATTAAATGTGATTTTACGTGTACCTATCACGTATAACTCAAAAATAAATTTTAAGTTATTTTTGATTGTATAATAGTTGGTACTCATGATTTACATATTATTATTAGTTATAACACCAAAGTCATAAATACGGTCATGAGTATTTAGTACCAGGAACGTAGACATGGATGGGCCTGGTCCCCCTTAGATTTAATGTAGCACAGGGCCGGCCCACCCAAATTTAAAATTCAATTATTTTTACGAATTATCAATAACGTACTAGGCCTTATATACATGGAAATTATTATTAATTTGTGATTGCTATTGAGTAATACAGTTATTATTATGGCTGTATTTTCATTTTTATATTCATAGAAAACGTTATTTGAAAAAGATAACGATCTGGACGTAATTATAAATGGAATAGCAGTTACTCCAAACGTAGTTATAGATAAATTTTTTTTAACTATGGTCCAACAAATGATAACAAACTACCAAGTATCATTGATACTTATTGAAATATGCATTGATTAGAATCTAGTTGATTACAAAATTTAATCTTTTTTTTTTTTATAATTTAGTAGTTATAATAGGTAATTTATTTGTTTTTGTTAATTTGTTATTTGCGTGTTCTAAATAATAGTAATGAAAATATGACTAAAAAAAGGCAGGAATTGTTTTTAATTTTAAATAAAATAAATTTTACATTGTTTATTATTTTGTATTTATTTTCAAAATTATTTATAACTTATTTGTTATTAGTATTTAGGTATAAATTATTTTTTCTTAATACCTTAAAAGTTGAAAAATTAAATCAGCTTATGTTCATATCATTATTTTATTGGCTTCCATGCAANTCATATCATTATTTTATTAGCTTCCATGCAATGCTGAGTAGGTATTGGTTTTACTATGATGTGTTTTTTTCTGTGTCTGTTACAACTTTTTCTCAGCTTTCACCAAACCGATATCTTNTTTTCTCAGCTCTCACCGAACCGATTTCTTTCAATGATACGTCAAAAGATCACAAATCGTATCTAGTCGAAGACATTACCCTCAAAAATTGAAAAAAATTCCCTCGTTCCCCGTAAATGAGGGAAACCTCCAAAAAAATTACAAATTTAAAAATCGCTAATTTTCGAAATTTTTTCAATTTTTTTTACTTAAAATTGCTATAACTATTTTAAAAATTACCAAATCAATATAATTTTTTTTTTATATAGATGCATGATATCATTACCTTTCATTTGGTATATTTTTTTTTATATCTGACCCTTTACGTGCCCACAGGGGGGGATTTAAAATGACAACTTTTTCACAAATAATTAACTTTTTCAACTTAACTTTTGAAAATGTTCCGGAAGGTCTCACACTTTTATATATATATTAAATTAAAGCTAATGTAATGTACTTTATTATGGAAAAAAAAATTTCGGACTTGCGAATTGAGCTAAAAGTTATGGTAATAAATTTATTTATTTATTTTTTTTATTATAAACTTTCACTTTAAAGGACAAAAAAAAGTAGGTTAAAAATGATTACTTTTAACATATTAAAAATCAATAATAACTTGAAAACAATTAATTATAAAAAATATATAATATATAATTAAAAAAGAATTAATAATCTGGATATATATAAGGAAGTAGAAGTTGTTATTGCTTTTGTAATTATCCACCAATTTTTTAGAATTAAACACCATCTACAGATTTGCATCGAAGCATTTCTTATGATAGTGATTTTAATCACTGTCAGATTAAATCTATACTGGACCCAACTATGCCACATCCCCACTGTGCCACGACCTCACTGTGGTGGGTTTTTTTTATATTTATCTGTTCATTACCATCAGTCATACTCAATGACTGTCTGAAAAAATCATCTATTGTTTTTTTTATTATAAACTTTCGCAAAAATCAACCATAAAGGATTAACAAAATAGGTTAATTATGTCATTTTTCATACTTTTAACATATTAATAATTAAAATCAGTATTAATTTAAAACAATTTTTTTTTATGTCAATACTTATTTTAATAATAAGTAATTCTATCAAAACTTAGAAGTGATAGAAAAAGTCTAATTAGAGATTTAAAGAGAGCGTGAAAAGTTGAAAAAGAAAACTATATTTTTGTTTATTATAATTTCTTTGCAGAATAATGGTAATTAGTATAAACCAATAGTACTTAGTATTAAGGGTGTAATAAATTAGTAGTAATATGTATTTAGGGAGCAGAATAATAATAATTGGTAATAAAGGGATAGAAAAATAGTATCTAAGGGTAATTAATAATTATGTGTGAATAACAAAGAGGAATTAGGGCTTATACTAAAAGTTAGGGGAATTGGTAATTAAGGGGTATAGTAAAAGAGAAATTAGGAGGAGTTAGCAATTAAGGGGGTATTTTTATTAATTTGTAGATTCTGTAAATTTAATTAAAAAAATATATAGTGTTCTACGACTACATTTTTTTGTATCTATGAATGCTTAATCTCNGTTCTACGACTACATTTTTTTGTATCTATGAATGCTCAATCTCAGCTCTCGCTGGATCGATTTTGATGAACATAACATCAAAAGATCACAAATCGCATCTAGTACGACATTACCTTCAAAAATTAAAAAAAATTGAAAACGTTTCTCTCGTACACTGTAAATGGGGGAAATCCTCCAAAAAATTACAAATGAAAAAATCGCTAATTTTTGACATTTTTTATTTTTTTTTTTACTTAAAACTGCATTAAATTTCTAAAAATGTCCAAATCTATATACATTTTTTTATAGATGCATAAATAATGATGTCTTTACCTTATATTTAGTATATTTTTTTTTATAAATCTGACTTTTTACCTGCCTATAGGGGGGGATTCAAAATGACAAGTTTTTCACAAAAAATTTACTTTTTCAACTTAAACTTTGAAAGTGTTCCGGAAAGTTTGACACTTTTATATATATCTTAAATTAAAGCTAATACAATTTACTTTATTATGCAAAAAAAAAATGTCGTACTTTATTTTGTCTTCACGGTGAAAATAGCTACCAAATGCTATTATTGTGTGAAAATTCTCGATTTTATTTTTTACATTTTTAACGTTATAATGCTATAACTTATTGAAAAGCGTATGGATCATTACAATTTTTCTATGAGAAATACTATTTTTTAATAATCCTTTTTTCATTCGACATACTTTATCTTAATCAGGATACTAATAAGGAACTAGCAGATTATGTAGCTTTTGGAATAATCCACTAATTTTTTAAAATTAAACACTATCTAAAGATTTGCATCGAAGCGTTTTTTTTTTGATAGTGATTTTAATCACTGTCAGATATCATTATACTTGATCCAACTATGCCACGTCACCACTGTGCTGCGACCCCCCTGTGCTGGTTTTTTTATAATACTGTAATAATTAGTATACTTTATACGAAAACAGTTTATTTTTAACTAACCAATGGTAAAATTTTGAACTTGTAAGATTCATAGAATGGGATACTGTCTAAGGATGAGTGGAGGGAGTCCCCCCCCAAAAGTTTTTCATGGGAAACAAATTATGGAAAATGATACAAGGGCCCAAAATTGTTGCCCCTCCAATAAATATTTTCTGGCTACGTGCCTGATTTAGTACATACCCACATTTTGCTGAGTAAAATATTAGAAAATATTTTAATGTTTTTATGTTAAATATCTTTCAACATTATTAATCAATTGAAATTGGAAAATTTCATTTACCAATGAAAAAGTTTTTTTGTCGAGGTAGAGAGTAACATCAAATGAAGTAAATTTGGTTAAATCTTGCTTTTTTGCGTTATATGAGTAATGATTTATTTAAATTACTATTAGTAAGAATATAAATCCATTAAGTTAAATAGTTGTTAATATCTAATAAAATTATTCAATTTTGAATGAATATATAGTGGTTATATATATATGGATAGTGTAGTTCTTAAAAAATATATATATCATAGCTAGTGATGAGAATTTTCGAATAATTATTAGAATTGTTTTTATACAACTGAATAGTTTATTCTTAGCATTAACTATACAAATAGACTATCGAATAGTTTTTAATTTTATTCGAATAGGCTACCGAATGGTTTCAAAAAATATTCGATTAGTTCTACCTAAAATTTTTATTAAGTACACTTAATTATAATAAGAAGATAATTAACGAATACTTAAAATAAATGATTATACATTGTTTATATTGTTTAGTAATTCTGTGATAAATCACCCCTCAAATTAAGTGAAACATAATTATAATTTATTATACATAGGGGTGACTGGGGTAACTACGGTCACCTTAGCAAAAATTGTTATATATCTGGTTCTAAAACTCTAAATATTATGCTTTTTACAACAAATGGATGCAAAACATATTGGCTGTATTATGTTAAAGTTTCAGATTTTTAAAACATATTCTTATACAGGGTGATTTTTTTATCATAACCCACTGAATTACTTAAAGAATAATAATAATTTAAACATTTTTTTTTATTACTGTCTTTAGTTACACATTATTCTTGAATTATTAAATATGTAATACTTTTTAAGTTCATCCCTTATGCCTGGTAAGGGTGTCAACTTTGTTTTTTAAATGGGAACACATATTTTGAATTTAATAAAATGTTTGGATTTTTAATTCAATAGTAAATGGCATTTGAATTTTTAATGAAACTTAATTTGTTTATTAGATATAAACATTTAAAGTTTCAAATTTTTGAGTTAATATATAGGTATAATACACAAGAGATTACAAATACAGTTAGCTAATTGGTTTTTTATGACATCAATATTAGCAGGTACACAGCATTGTTATTATAAATGGTAGTAAAGTACATTGTTGTGAGTTTATAAATACACTAACTGATAATACAGAAAGTATATCTATTGATAGTCATAATTGATAATAAAGAATCCGTGAATGTGATAGTAATATCATAAAAAATCAATTAGCTACCTGTATTTGTAATCCCTTGTGTATTATACCTATATATTAACTCAAAAAATTGAAACTTTAAATGTTTATATCTAATAAACAAATTAAGTTTCATTAAAAATTCAAATGCCATTTACTATTGAATTAAAAATCCAAACATTTTATTAAATTCAAAATATGTGTTCCCATTTAAAAAAACAAAGTTGACACCCTTACCAGGCATAAGGGATGAACTTAAAAAGTATTACATAGTTAATAATTCAAGAATAATGTGTAACTAAAGATAATAATTAAAAAAAAAATTTTTATTTTTATTATTCTGTAAGTAATTGAGTGGGTTATGATAAAAAAATCACCCTGTATATATAAATATATATATTTTTTTTAATGCAAATGATCGGTATTCCCCCGGGGTAGGGGGAATATCAGTCATACATAAATACATGCAAAAAAGATACGGATAAAAGAATTTTTAAAAAATCACTGAAATATAATTCATATAAATTATAAATATATAATAATTTGCTTACCTTAAATTAAAAAACTTAAAAAAATTTTTTTTAGATAAATAAACGCTGAAAATTATTTTCACACGTTTAAACGTGAAAACGTTTTTTGATAATATCGTTCTAATAAGAATAAGGTTTTTTAACATTCTTAATCTATATTTATGGTCAACATAATTTTAGATGTATGGAATTATTGGATAATGAGATGATTAAGATAGTAGAAATAAAATTTCATTTGTTTTTTTTTTTTTGAGTTTTTTTCCTTACTTTTAACAAAGAAATGTTACCCTGGTATAAGATTGATAGAGGTATTAAGGTGACATTGATGTTTCATTATATAATTTTTTTATTTCTTTAGTTTCACGTAATTATTAAAAAAAAAACTAGTGTCAAGGATCTACTTTAATTATTCAATTGCTTCCCTAGAAGAGGTATTATTGAAAATTTGCAACGGAAAATTCTCAGTTTTGGCCGATACCTTATGTTACGCTACATAAAAAATACCACACAAAAAATACACGATTTATTTGGGGGACAAACAGTCTTCAAAAATGATAAAGATAAATTTTAAGTAAAGTTATAAAATATTTGTGACTGGGGGGTTTCCATTATTATTATTAGTATTAAATTATTAATATTATTATTAGTTTTCAAGACTAGTTTTACTATTTTATTTTTTATTAAAAAAAAAAGGAAAAACTCTAAGTATTCCAGGTAAAGAAACAGTTTTTAGGTTTCTATCATAAATATTAAATAAGTTGTGAGTTATAGAACTTTAAAAATAACAAACGAAAATAATAAGTCACCCTAAATTACTGTACTGATTAATATTCAGTAATTACATTTTTTGCTGAGCTCTATTCTGCACTAAAACAAAATGATAATAAGTAAACTGGTAAACATTCTCATACTATAAACTATTATGAAGACGTTAATAAAACCGAATCAGGTTGGTAGCACTGCCGTTCCCGCCAAACTATGGAAGAGGTACCTTCTCTTAGAGTAACGCTGCAAATCCACCGGCCACTGCGTTCCATTAGTATCGTTCCGATCATCCGAACTAGTGTTGTGGCCACCTGCTGTCCTAATATACCGTACGTTCGTTGCTTTTGAATTATTTATTTCCAACTTGAAATCAAAACTGATCCCTTTTTAGGCTATTATATTTTTTTTAATTAGTTGCTATCAGTTTCGTTAACGCGCTTTTGTTTACAAATGTGATCGGGTGTCGTCGTCACGTGATGGCAAACGGAAAAGAGCAAAACGTAGAAATGCAAGATAAAACGGACGGGTGTTTGACACCGGTAGACGAAGAACGAGAACCATGTTTGAAGGATGCCGAACCGAAGAACAACGGGGTGGCATCCAAAGTGAAGTCAACCGCTGACAATAATAATAGCAACGGTGGCGGCAAGTTCCTAACGTTCACGGCCACCAACCTCGAACAAAAGCTTCGGGACAAGACCGGGTTTTCCAGGACTGGTTTGCTGGTGACAGCTTTGACATTGTTCCTGTGTGTTATTCTGTTTATCACGTTAATAGTCCTTTTGTTTATGTGGCCTCGTCCTCCCAGCGTTTTCCCAGTTTGTCGGCGAGCATCTTGTCTCCGAGCTTCAGCAGAGGTGAGTTTTATTATTTTTTTGTAGTAATTTGTAAATGATATTTAAAAATAAACAAATTTTATTTGAACTCTCATATAATTTTATATTTGTACGCGGGGGCGTTAGAACTATCATAATTTCTAGCAAATAAAATGATAACAAAACGTTGACGAGTTTATCGTTCGTCGTACTCGATAGATCTTCGTGAGAAACCGCAGTTTTATCAGTCTAACTCGAACATAACGCCGAATTCAATCCTACAGGAAATATGTAATATATTTTTTATTACGCGATTTATTGTGTAAAGCATATGGCAAATGTAAAATATTAAAATGTCGAATTGGGTTTTGTCGTTTGGCCACAATAGATGTTTTTGGTATTTTTTAACAATAAAGTGTAGTAAACACACTAAAAATGCAAATCCTATATTAATCGTGCAAGGTTCACTGACGTCGTTGGTTGCCTGTAGTGCTTTTCTGACCGGTTCCACCTGTACCTACATTTTTTATTCAAAGAATATTAAAACATTTTCAAACCGAGTAAAATTGATATTAGGTTGATTTTTAGATGCTTCTAGGTTTTTGGCTTTCAGACTACAATATATTCACTACTACTGACGAAGTTATACGTATCTCTGTTATTCGTCAGGCTCTATCAGTGTACCTGTTAATTGATATTTTCGTTATATTTAACGAATATAAAAATTTACTTATCTGTATTAATTTCTACGTTTTGCAAATATTTAATGCTTATACTAGGAAGTATTTAAAAATGTGGTTTGGAGATTTAGTGGTATTATAGTGGAATTATATTAGAGGATCGTAAACAAATTCAACACAGGAAATTGATCGATTATAAGGAAATCGTCCGAGAGACATTTTTTAGGGTCTTTCGTGTGTTATGAGGGTATTGCCGAAACGTTGAGCCGTTTCACTGGTGTTGTGAGAAAGGAGACCCCTCTCGGCGGCGGAACATGTGGACAAAAGACATTCAAGTCTGCCATTATTCCCAAAACGACCCGGCACAACGTACAGGTACAAAATGTAAAAAAGGACGTACGTTTTACGATTAGAACAGTGTGGTCGTAAAATTTACCACCTTCGACTGTCGTCCTGAAAAGTAACGCTTTCTCATAAGTAGTATGTATTCCTACTGGACTTGATACACGTGAAAATAATCGGTCTCAATTTTTACGGTGTACATAACCACAGCAATTAAACTCGTACGTTTCCAGGCCCTACGCACACTTTAATTCAAAGTGCATATCAAATAATGAATATACTTCATTATAGTTACAATACAATATCGTTTCCCTTCCGGCGAATCCTTATTAATAGCATTTTTTTACCGTTCAACTGTTAGTCTGATTTTTTATCGTGTAATTCGATGTGGTCCGTTGACCACTCGAACTTCTAAACACATTGTCCGTTAAAATTATATAACCTACCCCTACTCATTTTTTGTAATCCTCACACGCAGGTGTTGAACTAAAATTGACAAATACTAATGTCAGTTAATATCATCCCGCACCATAAAGAAATGTTCATCGAATAAAAAAAATTGAAAGAAATGCCAAGTTTTTATCGAAAACAAGAACATAAATTGAATGTGCTTTGTTCGTTAAAAAATCTCGTTAATTTTGAATTCTGAAACAAACTTAAATACATAGCTAATTACAGTGACTTTTCATATAATAAACGGACTCGATCGAGTTAAATTATATATATTTTTTATTACACCTTTATGATGGACGTCTGAGATTTACCATTATTTGATCTAGTTGTATTAAATATTGACGTTGTGCTAAGTATAATAAATACTTTGAATTTTCAGTGTTATATGTCACTTTAATATTGAAACGTATGGAAAAAAATGGATTAATTAGAACGCGTAATGTTTATTCATCGTTTGTATCAACTACACTGTTTGTAACCCATATAAGAAGTAAATATTATAGGTCAATTCGACGATTGACCGTATTGTAATTTTATTTTTAGATTCAATTACGACAAAAAACATTTTGGTTTGTTGTTGTTTTGATAGTATTTATGGTTATAATTTCCACTGACATTTCTCTAAAATTCATATAAATTTCAAAACACTTAAACAGTGGGTACTTCTTTATGGATGGCATTTTGCGAGAGTGTTTTGGTGGTCGTACAGAGTGAATTTTTCAGTGACTCTGATTAAAAATTCCTTCTAATGGTTGTATTGTATGTATGATTAAGTTATAGATTTACGTATAATTTTCGATGCGCGTCAATTGACCGTAACAACCATCAAACCGCAGAATAAAAAATAATGTATTGATTGTCATTTGATATTTCGACTAGGCGCCGATCGCGTACAATACGATAGGAGTTTGCTTAATACTTTGTATACGCCTGAGATATTAATATGATTATATTTGTTGAGTAGGTGTAGATTCGTCAATGTATTGAGTAGACCTGGAGCGATTTTGGCGTCCGAGTATAATTATCGTTGTTTTGAAATCGAACAATTCCAGTAATAATTGTTGTACGATATTAATCTAAAAACATCAATAGAGAGTAGGTGTGTAATGCAATTTATCTACTTGGAGTAACCGGATCTGTTTATTTCAAAGCTAATGAAAAATGGCGTAGAATTTTAAATATATGTGTTTGCTTGCTTAACGGGTTGTTTTCAATTTTTAATAGCTAATTACATTTATTTTGCACATGTCAGCTATTATTTGAAGTGCACTGTTAATCATATTATGATTTACTTTTTGAATAATAATGACAATACGGGTTTAAAAATATCAGCGAAAAATGTCACTGATCTGTACCTACGTAACGACAAAGTTCGAATTTGTCAAATATTTATACCACGTGTAAATTACATCGGTTTGTGAAATTATAATTATTCACAAGTTCTTAGTCATTGATTGCGAATCGGAACTCATAATAGTTTAAAATTAAATTTTAGTTTCCGTTTCATTGATATCCTCAATGTAATAATTTAAGTGACGCATACACATAATTACAATAATATTTTCAGTATATTAGAATATATTTGGTATTCCAATGTATTCTTTCAATCGCACCTGCAAAAAAAAAATGTGTGTCACTTATTTACTTGTTCAGTAGACACGCTCAATATTACCGCGAGTCAAATGTGAGTAAATACGTTTTAATCGATAAAAAAATTATGCAGCGCCAACGCGATAGTTCGTGGGGGAGGGGCTTAAGAATGTTGTTGTAATGCATTTCAATAAATACAAATAATCGGCTCTTTAAAATTTGATTTTTTTTACAGTATTTTCGTAACACTTTCTCAAAATTCAGACTGGATCAAATAGAATTATGAGATGATTATGGAGATTTCCATGCTCAGTTCTCGTTAATATCATATTGCTAAGTCTATAAAATTGTTTAGCATAAATAACGGTTCTATTTCTTTCGAATTTCTTCTCGGCATCGGTTTTTGTTTATCAATATTTTGAAATCTGTTAGCTAAACAGTTTTTGGCTCGTGTTAACAAAGCGCTTTGACATTTGTGTAGGTACTTATTCTTTGTTATTCAAATACGCCAATAGATGTGCGATATGCGTATAAGCTTACACTAATCTATTGTATTGAGAAAACAATAGAATGTTATTAACGACCAAAAGAGTTGTCTTTATGATCTATCAATGTTAATAAATAGCTCTTAAGGGAAGCGTCGTCATGTGTGTAATTTGAAACTTGGAACAACAAATATTGCGTTGTAAACGGAAGAAGTTGAGCCAAACGTTTTTAACTGAAGTGCAGTTAAGGATTGATCTTCAGTTAGTGTTGTATATTTTTTTATTCAGGAAATCATTTGTACTTGTTTAGTTGCCGTGTTCGTGCGTCTAGCTAAAGTATTGTTTTTTTCTTCACTTCCAGAAGTAATATGACCGTGAGAAGAATAGGCGTGAAAATATATAATGATAAAGATATTGTAGCCATGTGGCATAGTACATAGTGAAATAATTATTTAAAAAACCATTCGTCTAGCACGGATTTTTTTTTAAATGTCAGGCTCTCAACAAGAATGTTCGAGTATTGTAAGATTATAGTAAACGCAGATTTTTGTTTAGGACAGGAGAGGTCTAAAGTTGAAACTAAAAAGTATCGGCTATCTATGATTTGGTCAACGTATAATGAAGTTATTGACCTCCATACTGTAGTTAATAATGAAAAACTAACAAATATCTTGACGATACTATTTATTATGAGAAATTACACATCGTCAAATATATACGGGCAATGATACTGCATAGCTCTTTTATGTATGCAAGTTCATTAGCTTGAATAAATGTTTAACTTGAATTAGTTGCCTTATGTTAAAACAGCACAATATTAAAAATATGCCATTTACACTCGGTCTTTGTTACAAAATATACTTTAGTGTGATCCTTCAGCCGTACTTATTATATATATATATATGTAGTCAAGGCCTATCATAATTTTGTCTTCTGCCTTTGATTAATGCTTTTTGTAATTATTTTTAATTGGTATTTGAACAAATGTTGCATAATTTTAGTATTGACTTTTTGTTTCTAAACAGAACTCGAATTGCATTACTGAAAAACTTTGCCAACGAAAAAGCTTATGGATTATTTGATGTATGTAATATACTGGCTGTTCAGTATAAAGGAAAATGATTTGTATTGTTTGTAACAATTGATCTTTTTAAAAACTTCTGTACATTTTGTTTCACGGTATTGTAGTTTTTATAGAAAAAGTGTTTAATAAATAAAACTATCGACTAGTAATAATTTCTCGCAAGACTTAAAAAACCGCTACTTTGTTATTTACCGTGATGATCGAATGTTGAGAACGAAACGTATTGAGCTTGTATGTAAACGTAGCCCAAGTTACGCATTGGTCGGGTTCGTGGGTATAACGTAGAAACGCGAAAAAATGTGCTCGAAACCAGTTTTAAGAAGAAAACCACCAGAGCAAACGAGGAGTGACTGAAACATTGTTAAGGCTGTGTCCCAAAACTATTTTTTTAAAACTGACTAATTACGT